ATAATTGATCTCAAAACATTAGTCTACCATTCAAGGAGGCTTGAGGCAGGGTATAATGCCAGTATCCACATCCCCCCCCCCCAGGGAAACTGATCTCTTTTGTTGCACACACAGTTTATGAAACACTGTTATGCACTTTGTACTCTGCCACTGACTAACAGGTTAACTTAGTAGGGACACTTAGCACTTCCATTTTTTATATATATATATATATACACACACACACACACACACACACTTATACCCAGAATCAAACACTTCCATGTGCATTTCTTCAGGTACACTTTCTTCAGATACACTGAAGAAATGTGCATGCACACAAAAGCTTATACCCAGAAATAAACTTTGTTGGTCTTAAAGGTGTCACTGGACTCAAACTTTGTTCTATTGCTTCAGATCACAACTGAATCTATCCTCAGAATAGCGTAGAACATGGATGTAAAACATGAGGGCCGGGGGCCAGAACCAGCCTGTCCAGGGCTCTTATGCGGTCCGTGAGCAACTGGTGCAAGGGAGGGAGTCTCAGAGCGGCTTACAAACTCCTTTCCCTCCCCACAAGAGACACCCTGTGAGGTAGGCGGGGTTGAGAGAGCTCTTTCCAGGACTGTCCTTGAGAGAACAGATCTAACAGAACTATGGCTTGCCCAAGGTCATCTAGCAGCTGCAAGTGGAGGAGTGGGGAATCAAACCCGGTTCTCCGAGATTAGAGCACGTGCACTTAACCACTATACCAAACTGGAACAGACAAGTGCTTGGGAAGGGGAGTGGGTGGTCAATCCAGTTGTGGCTTCAGCACAGTGGAACAGCCTCGTCTGCAGCAGTCACGCAGTGTGGGAGCATCTGCCCAGTGCTGCGTTGCTGGCTTTCCAGTCCGCCCATGTGGGTTTTCCTCTGCACTCCCTCCCAGCCCATAAGGCCTTGCAGTGAGGGTACACCAACTCCGAGCTTACCAGCTGCTGTCCTTTATACAGTTTATATCTCTGGCACCTGGCATGGCTTCCGGTTTGGACTCCACGAATGGCGGCGCATCTTCAGGACGCTCCTGAAGTTGTTTTGCCCACACGCGGCCAAGGGGGGGGAATCCGCACAAGCGGAGACCCCAAGGAGCCCCAGGGAAGGGGCTCCGATCTGGGGCGTGAAGGGGATGTGCCTCTTTCCCGATCGGATGGTCGGAAATTGAGGCTCGCCCGATGCGGAACGGGCCTCTGGGGCGGGGGTTTTCCTGCCCCCCGGGGGGACTTGGCAAGCCTACTGCAAACTCCACATTCCTGGAGATTTGGGGGTGGAGTCTGGGGAGGGTGGAGTCTGGGGAGCGGAGGGAGCTCAACCGGCATGGCACTCCATAAAGCCCACCCTCCGAAGCTGCCGGTTCCTCTGCCGTTTGGAGACCAGGTGTAATTCCAGGCGATCTCCGGCACCCTGCCAAGGCCAGCAATTCTAGTACTCACCATCCTTCGATGTGCACACGAGGCTGTTTGTTTCTGATGGGTTAGGGCAGTATCCACTGTAGAGGTCAGCATGAGGTGTGGCTGGAGCTGGCCTGTAGCGACGGTGGGGCTATTGGGGTCTCCGCCCCTCCCTTAATGGCCCAGCCCCCTCCCTTGAAGGCTTCCCTGGAAAAAAATGCCCCACAAGCCACAAAATCCTGGTTATGGGCCTGGGCTGGAGGTGTGTCACCTGCTAAACAATCTTCTTTCTGCTCAGACATCCTGATCTGCCCAAGCCCAGTATCTCTGTGAGCCCCAGCCTGGCCGTAATCCCGGGAAGCAACATCGCCATTCAGTGCTGGGGCAAAGGTCTGATCAAGAAATCCTTTCTTTTTAATACTGTGATAGCACAGATGCCACGAGTAGCTGATGGGAGACAGGGGCTTATTCCCCACTAAGAACGTGAGCTCTGGGTGGTCCTACCAGTGCAGCTACCAATCATGACCTTTCATGTCAAAGGTCAGTGACTGTGTGGAACTGCTCCTCTCAGGTGGGTGTCCAAATTCAGCATCCCCCAGTGTCTGACTTCAGAGCTAGGGCCTTCGAGATTCTGATCTTAGGTTTGCAGGATACCTAAGAAGGGGGGAGGATCAGGGAGGGGGCTGGGGATGTAAAACATGAGGGCCGGGGGCCAGAACCAGCCTGTCCAGGGCTCTTATGCGGCCCGTGAGCAACTGGTGCAAGGGAGGACGTCTCAGAGCGGCTTACAAACTCCTTTCCCTTCCCCTCCCCACAAGAGACACCCTGTGAGGTAGGCGGGGTTGAGAGAGCTCTTTCCAGGACTGTCCTTGAGAGAACAGCTCTAACAGAACTATGGCTTGCCCAAGGTCATCCAGCAGCTGCAAGTGGAGGCGTGGGGAATCAAACCCGGTTCTCCTAGATTAGAGCCCGTGCACTTAACCACTATACCAAACTGGAACACACAAGTGCTTGGGAAGGGGAGTGGGTGGAGTCACTTCAGTTGTGACTTCAGCACAGTGGAACAGCCTCGTCTGCAGCAGTCGAGCAGTGTGGGAGCATTGGCCCAGTGCTGCGCTGCTGGCTTTCTAGTCCGCCCATGTGGGTTTTTCCAACCTTTTCTTCATCCCACCATATACCCCCCTCTTTCTGATACAAAAAAAGCATAAACTCTCTTCTTTTTAGAAGAGTCAATTAAAAAAAAATATATATCTCTGGCACCTGGCATTACGTTTTATGGCACACATGGCCCAGTCCAACAAAGTTTTATCAACTTGCCAGCAAGCAAAATGACATTTGTTAGAACTGGATACCACACAAACACACATTTTATTTTGCTGTGATGAAGATGAAGCTGGTTTCTGCACCAGTTCTGAATTCTGACCTTTTCCGATAGGTGCCACAGAATTGCCACTGGGGAAGAGGTACCATAGACTCTTCTGTGTGTCCCTGTCTCCCTGAATAGGATCAATGAAATGGAAAAACCTTCAGCACCTTCATAGAGTGGAATTTCTTTTCTGTTCCTGTCTCAGACTCCTGTACCCTCTATGAGATCCAGTTTGGGGAAAGTGCTTATGTTTATGTAAATATTCTTCATATTTCAGGTCGGAGGAAAAACGGAGAGAGAGAGAAAAATATACTAAGCTGGGTCTCCAAAGTTTCCAAGCCGGGGGGGTGGGGTTTGGGGAGCAGAGGGACCTCAGCAGGGTATGATATCCTAGAGACAGCCCTCCAAAACAGCCATTCTCTCCAGGGGAGCTAATCTCTGCCACCTGGAGCGCAACTGAATTAGCGGGAGATCTCCAGGTACCGCCTGAAGTTTGGCAACCCTACAGCCTAGGCTTGACTTTTGTTACGTGAACGACACCCTGTTTAAGCACCTTGTTAAACCTTAATAAGCACCAGTCCTGATCACAAGTGATCTGTCCTCTTCTTATTTATTTATTTATCAACTTTATACCCCGCCCTCCCCGCATGCAGGCTCAATTTATTCAATTGATAAATAAACTGAATGCCAAGGCGTGGAAGAATCCTTCTACCTCTGCAAATACATGAAGAAATAGATGTGTTGAGGTAGTCCAGTTTATTAGAATCTAGCTTTAATCACTCATATCATCTTAACATGTATTATTTTAATGTTGGCATCTGAGAAGAATTGCCCCATTCTATGTTTGTTTGTCCTTAATGTTTGTATGTTTTTGAATTTTTTTTAAAATAAAATTCTATCCCTCCATGGGATAGTTTAAAAAAAAAATCCTTCTACCTCCCCCGGGCGTCGTTCTATCCCTCCCAGGCTCTTCCCTCCATCCTCAGGCCACTTACCTGCCCCTGGCGCCAAGAAGCGAGCCAGCAGGCAACCTTTGTGCTACTCCCTCACCTTGGCGTGAGCCTCGTCGTCTCCTTCTTCATCCGCCCGCTGTCTTCCTTCCTCTGATGCCCCACGAAGGGAGAGCTCTCTTTCCTAGCAGAGCGTTTCAGAGGGTGGTTGTAGCAGCCGGCACAGGAGCCCCTTGGAGACTAAGAAGCGTTGCAGGGTATGAGGTTCCCTCCCAAAGGCAAAGCTCATTTGGTGAGACGGGAGTAGGAGCAGGGTCAACAAGAACAAAGTTCGAATCCAGCGGCACCTTCAAGACCAACAAAGTTTAATTCTCGGTAGAAGCTTTCGCGTGCGCGCGCACTTCTTCAGATACAGCTAATCCCCGAGTCATTTTATTCCCGTCAGAAGGTGGGAGGGGTTGTTGCAAAGAATGGCTGGAAAGGATGCAAAGATGCATCCTTCTGCCCTTGATTAGAGCAGTGGGGGAATGCTCGGGGGCAGCGTTAGGGCCCGGGGGGGGGTGCTGATTTTCTGCGCCCGAGCATTTGCCCCTCTGCTCTAATCAAGCTGGTTACAGTGTGCAATGCACCTTTGCAAGCTTTCTTTATAACTACTCCCTCCCACTTTCTGATTGGGATTGAAAAGGCTCAGATCTACATTCCTACCCCTACAGGGAGCTTTGACTCGGAAAAGCATCTCTGAGGTGCTGCTGGATTCAAATCAAGGGCACCTTGTGCTTGATTGAAGGGGAGGGGCAGAGCCTGCTTTCTTGCTGGGGAAGGGAGTTTCATTTGCTCTAGGGTCTTTGCAATCCATAAAGGCCGCCGTGCGGCAGTAGGACCTTTGCATAAAAACGAATAAAGCTTGAGTCACAGTTGGCTGTTTGCAGTGTTACAGGGACACCCCGTGCAAGAGTTCCCATTTGTTGCAACGAATCTGCACGCCTGGAGCTTTCCTGACTTGTCCCTTTTAAAAGGGCCTCTATACAGGGTTTAAAAAAAAAAAAAAAAAGCTCGGAGGAACGAAAAGCGCACGCGTGTATTCCTGAACTCCTAAATCCTTCTCCTTCCACCCCTTTCACGGGAAATGCCACACGCATGCGTATTTCCGGTCAAGAAGGACGGCGGCAGGGAAAAAGAACCTATTTCGCACGGCGGGGCGGGGCGTCAGGGCGCGTGCGCAGTGCGTGTGATGGAAATAGCGCTCCGGAGCGTGAATTTTCTGGCGCGGCCGGAAGTGTCCGGAGAGATTTGAGTGGAGCGTCCGATTCGCCTCCCCTCACCCGCTGCGGGCGCTATGGAGCCGGGAGCCTGAGGGCGAAACTGACGCCTTTCCCCCAGACATGTTAGCGGCTCCCCTCGGTGCAGGTGAGTGCTCCGAACCGCTTCCGTCGCCTCACCCCCTCCCCACCGTGGCCCACAGGCGCGCTCTCCTTAGGCGGGCCCGCCGGCCCCCTCCGCCGCTCGCTTCTGCGTTCCGTCCTGGTGGCGTCGCCTTCCGGGCCTGGAGGCCTTGACTTCAAGAGAGCAGCTCCCTTTCGCGTATGTCGGGTGCAGCAAGCCACGGCGGGGGGGGGGGGGGGGGGGGGAGTGGCCCCGGGGGGGGGGTTCGCGGCCGCCCGCTTCAGCACAGCATCACCAGTCACAAGACTGGGAAAAAAAGTAGTGAGTTAGCTACTGCAATTTTTTTTTCCAATAAGTGTTTTTTATTTTGAACAATATATACAACAGTACATTCATAACATATATTGACGCTATGCAATAATCAACTTTCTCAACCCTTAAGAGCCCTTTTAAAAATATAACAGATCTTTGTAATAAGAGTTGTTTGGAATCACTTCTTCTGCTAGATAGTTCACCACTGGGAACCAAGTTGCTTGACAATTTTACCATATATAAAGTGCTCCCAAAGTTTGTTTTGCCAACATTAGAGAGTCCTGTTTTTAATCGGGCTGATTCAAGTTCTGCTGATGCTGCCTCATGGTTTGTCTGAGGACGCAGCCCCGTCTGCACTTTTATGTGGCAAACCCCATTCAGTTTTCTTGCAGATACATGTGCACATGTTTCAGGTGCAAGATGTGAGTTAGGAAGTTCCCTAGGTGTCCTTTCTGTGCATGCATGCTTGTTCTCTGGGAGCCCCTCCTCCTTACCGGCATAGGATAGAAATGCTGACTTTACTGTGCGGGATTGTTGTAAGAGGCATGCTGGATAGTGCAAGTGTAGTTCTTCAAATGCCTGAAAGTGATATATAAATGCTAAGAAGCATTACCTCGGAAAGGTAGTCATTTCCACAAACTCATTAATATCTTAAGGGCATCTGTAGCTTGTGTATATTTACTGTCCTTCCCTGCCACCAATGGCCTAACCTGAAATCTTGACTACTTCAGGAATAAGATCTTAACTGATTGTCAGGTTTGATGTCATTAGTGTCTAGTATGGGGAAGCCCATAGTTCTAAAAAAAACCCCTGCATCATCTACCTGTGAAGAGCCTGGTGTTGTGACAGGCAAGGGAGGAGATGAGGAACAGGCAAGGGTTGTACTGGCTAAATTCATTGGGAGGAAGCTGAACCCTGTGACTTAGTGCCAGCACCTGAGTCCCTTGAGTGGAGATCTGGCCCTGTGTGCTGATCAAAATAGTTTCTGTTGTTGTGCAGTATGTGTGCCAGAGGTGCCACCAGAGAGGATAGAATCTTGTTGATACTGAAAGAAGCTGTGACCTGGCCACTCCTGGGGGAAAAGAAACAATTTTGGGTAGGGGCAAGGTGGCCAACTCTATGTTAGTTTCCAATTTCCCCCCTTTTTTAGAGTAGCTTTATTGAACATATGGTAGCAGAGAAGCTTAGATGTCTCCGGATGAAGACTCTTTCTTCAATTCTTTTCAGTCTAGATCCCCCCCCCCCAAATTTGGAAATTTTAACAGCATTAGGAGCCTTGATGACAGATCACCTTGCAATTGCTGGTAGGAATATTTCTCCGTTGAGCTTGTTTGACCTCTCAGGAGTTTTGATACTGTGAATCCTACCATTCTTGTAAAATGACTGGAATAACTGGTAGGGCTATCTTGACTAGTGTTCCAATGCGTAAGGTGATGTTTGGTGATGCTAGTGCAGCTTCTGTCCCCGTGCATTGGCTTGCATCATGCCACAGGATCCCATTATTTATCAATTCTGTTTAACATCTATGAAACCACTGAGAGATCATCTGAAGCTTTTGGGGATTGGGTGTTAACCTATATACTGATGACACTCATCTTTGTGCTTCATTGAGTGCTTAGGAATAGTTGCCTTCTTTCTTAGTGTCTAGAAGCTGTGACCAAATGAATAAGGTTCAACATGTTGAAGCTGAACCCAGACAAGATGGAAGAAGTGCTGAAGGGGAATTCCATTGCTCTGGAGGACAGTGAAACATTAAGCAGCATTTTCCTATCTGAGCACATCTGAAAGGTCTACGGTCCTGCCCTGTCTTGGATAGAACACCAGTTCTGTTATCCAGAGTCTCCTTTTAGCTGTTTCTTTTGCTTCAAAATGTCACAGTCCCTTTTCACAGAGGAAGGCTCCTGCCATGCATGTTCATGGTTTTGGAGTCTTTAGGCTTTTGATTATTACAGTAGTCATCATGGAGGGGGGTTGCCTCTCAAGACTGTTGGAAAGCTTTATTAGGTGCAGAGTGCAGTTGGTTTTCTACTGACAGATACAAGGAAGCAAGAACATATTCAGCTAAATCTGTCTTTATGTGAGCCTCAGTGTTGTTTTCAAGTCATAGGTCATGCCATTCTATGAGTCCCCTTACAATGTGAAGCAGGGGCTTTACTGTACTTGACCTCAGTGCTATAGATAATCTTTTCTGAGGACATATGGTGGTGCTTCTCCAGAAGTCAATGAGGAAGAAGTACAATGCCCACTTCCTTCAGAAGGAATTTGCTGATAAGGGTCTAGTTTTTCTATTTTTGCTGTGTTTTGTATTCACCTATGCTTGTATTTATCTGAGCCACTTAGCTGTGGAAATGTAATATATAAATATATTTGCTGCTTGCTGCATCCAAGAGATTAATCTTAAATGTACAAGAACCTTGTCTCATTTTGCCTCTGTAAATGAGGGTTAAAACTGTTTTAAGGAACTCTCATTCAGGGCAGTGACTTTTTGATGGGTAAGTTTGTGTGAAGTACTAATTAATATTCATAGTAATTAATACATTATAAACTTTCCATACTTGGTTGGCAAACCTGCACTAAAGATGAGCGTTATTGGTATGCTTGTTTTGCATGAAAATTGTGACAAAAGGAAATCAAGCCAAGAAACATTTGCTTTCAAATCCCTAGAGAAGCAGATTTCAGCATGAATATCTCAAGATTTCAAGATGTCCAATAGCTTGTTTTTATCTTGTACATTGTTTTAATTTTAAGCGTCCCAGAGTAGGACTCTGAAGAGGTGGCATAGAAATATGCCAAATAAATCAGATCTGTTGAGTTAATAAAGTTTAATAAGTAAGCTGCAGTCGATAGGAGTTCCTGATCTTCCATTAGCCTGGTTGGAAATATTAACTTTGCCATCTGTTTTCCTTTGAGAACTCTTCTGCAATAAAATAACAAGCAGTCCTGTGACACCTTAAAGAACAGCACATTGATTGTGGCATAAACTTCCATGAGTCCAGAGACCACTTCATCACATACATATATTCATTTTGTAGGTAGATATACACAATGGAACAAATGGAAGATGATGGTGGGAAAACAGGTTTTTAAGATACATATCTAGTCTAAAGACTAATTCAGCCAGTTGGTATGGGTGGGCTCTGCCAGCCTTTTCTGAATTGGCAAAGATAAATGGGTGCACATAAACAGGTAAGGAGGGACAGTTACATTCTGTAGTGAACGAACGCCTTCCAGTTGCCCAAGTTTTGTAAATGTTAGTAGTCCTCTAGGGAGAAATCTTTCTTGCATATACGGGACTGGTGGGAAAAACAAATTGGCTGCTTACATGTGTGGGTTCTGTTAAATAGGAGCTCCAATGAAATTTGAACCTCTTTCTCTTTGGCCAGAGTAATTCATGATAACTCACTTTAAGCCAACTGTTTTTCATGCCCCTAGCCTAGCCTTTTTTATGACTTGTTTTAATACTGATACTTTTATGGTGGTTGTACTTAAGATTTTACAAGAATCTCATGAGGAGTTGAAGTGGAAAGGAAATCTCATCTGACTCCCTGCTGGCCCCACTTTCTGTCCTCTTTCTTACTGCCCTACCCTCCTGTTGCTCCCCCCCCCCCCCCCCCCCACCACCCGACTTGTTTTAATACTGATACTTTTATGGTGGTTGTACTTAAGATTTTACAAGAATCTCATGAGGAGTTGAAGTGGAAAGGAAATCTTATCTGACTCCCTGCTGGCCCCACTTTCTGTCCTCTTTCTTACTGCCCTACCCTCCTGCTGCTCCCCCCCCCAATCCTCTTGCTACCTTCAATATGTGCACACCTGTTCTGTTTTTTTGGGGGGAGGGAGTTAACCCTCTTTTTTAAAAACTCCCCCATTTAAAAAATCTCCCGTTTCTGTATCTGATCCTACTGTGTGGATTTTTTTATCACTTCTGTGAAGCCAAGTTCAGAATGAGTTACAAGACTGTATTGCTTGTAGTTGTGAGCTGGCAAGAGCACGTGTTTGGATGGTCTTCATATAAATGTTCTAAATAAATTCAGGAAGGAAGAGCTGCTTACTTTAAAAGTTAGTCTACTCTGTGGCAGCCTTGTTGGAACCAGGTGCCAGCAGCTCTGAAAAGGAGATCTTGACTTGTCCTTGAGGCTAGCACAAACCTTGTTTGGAAAAGGCTGGAGTAGCTATTTACTGGGATAGCTGACTGGATTGCCAGGTATGTGTAGGCCCC